GCTGTTAGCTAAGCTAAGCACCCTTGAGCACCTGAGTGCAGCTCCCTGGCCGAGGTCACCCGGGACCTCGGGCTGTCCATTTCTCTCTTCCTTATCTGGCTTCCATGTAGCATTCCACTGCTGCTGCTTTCTGTCTTCTGAAACATTGTTTGGTTTCTTTCTTCTTCCCTAGCTCTTTCCTTAATTATCTTTCCTATGGTGCTTTTTCCTGGGGAATTGGCTCTGACCCCTGCTGGCTTTTCATAAGGTGCCTGTTCTCTCTGAGGGTTCTCAAATATTTACCACATTTTAACTGACCAGTATTGGACTCTCTCCTGAATTGCAGAGATGCACTTCAGCTGCTTGGGGACATGATGCTTGAACATAAGGTAGTCAGCTTTCTATCTCCTTCCAAATCTGCAGCTTGACTTTGATTCTCTCAGGGGAGTTCCACCTCGGGAGTTGCTCAGGCCTGAGACTCAGCTCCATCAATTGTGCTGTTTACTAAGCTGGTTCTGTCCACACCCTGATCTGATATTGCCAGCAGAGCAGTATTAATTAAGGCTTCAATTGTATAGCTAGGGATATTTGGAAAAATTGAACTCCCCCCCCCCCCCATAATTAAAGGTTTAGTAAGAGTTACTGTTGAGCAAAAATGGAAATCTTATAACAAACAAATCAAGTGAAGCAAAACAACTATTTAGTTGGTAGGAAGAAATGCAAGGAATTGGCTATCACAGTACTTTACTCTTTGAGATGCTAGTTTCCTTGTTTAGGGGGTGGGGAGGGGAAGGCTGTCAAGTTTTATGTATTAGAGGGAGGGAGGTGGGGATAGAGAGACAGAGAGGACTCCCATTCATTGATTTGTTCTCCAGATGAGTGCGAGGGCCAGGGCTGACCAGAGGGAGGCTGTCGGCCCTGCTGGGTCCCAGGATCAGCACCAGCAGTCACTGGGGTCTAACCCAGATTTCCAGTGGAAGATAGGCATTTTAACTAGGATCTTAACATCTCTTCCTCCTCCTCCTTTTTCCCACTTATTTCTTCTTCACCACTGGGCCCTCATCGTCCTTCCTGTTGCTTTTGTTGTTGAAACAGCTCTCTGGAACTATAATACATGTGTCATAGAGCTTACCTGTTGGATGTGTTCAATCCCAGTGACTTACGGTACATTCCCAGGGTTTTGTGAATGCCACCACTGTCTTGTTCCCGATCATTTTTGTTCTTCTAAAATAAATCCCACATACTTGTCAATCTCCCTTGACCTTGCCTACGCACTCCAAGTGAACACTAATGTGCTTTCTGTTTCTAGAATTTTCCTATTCTGGACCTTTCATATCAGAAGAGGCTTGTGTGGTGGCAAGCCTTGGACTTCACATTTTATGTGCAGGTTTCACCTTGCGCTGTGTCTGAGTACCTCATTCCTTTTTATGGCTGAAGAAGAAATTCTGTTGTGTGATTCAGCAGTTGGAATAAATTAGATAAAGTAAATAGATAAATTAGATAATAAATTAGATAAATAAATTAGATTGTTTCTACTTTGGGCCATTACAAATAATGCTACCTGTTGTCTGTGATTTTTGGGTGTGGTGTTTTTATTTCTCTTAAGTGTATACCGAGGAATAGAATCACTAGGTCTATATTGTAAGATTTTGATAACCTGCCAAAACTTGTCCCCAAAATGCTTGTGTACTATTTTGCAGTCCTGCCTGTACTGTGAGAGTTCTCATTTCTGTATATCCTTGCCAACACGTTTTATTGTTTGCCTTTTTGATGACAGCTCTTCTGGTGAATTCAATACTATCACATTTTATCTTGATTCACACTTTTCTGAGAGCCTTTGTTTTGGAGCTGTGATGGCTACACAGTAGGAACATGCCTGCTCCTGCAGGGTGGCGGGAGCTGGCACTGAATCAGTGTTTTTTTTTTTTTCAAAGATTGCTGTTTCTGTAGTGTTAATGGATACTATAGCTCTCATCTGATACCCCATTTGCCTGCTGGGTCTGACTTTCTAAGTGGAGTCCTGCCTTTGAAAGGTTGCTGGATTGTCGCCGTCATTGACTGCCAGCCCAAATGTGTGCAGCGCTGCAGCTTGGTGATTCTGGCAGTAACCAGAGGGGTATCCTGTGCAGTGCATCCTGCAGGTGTCTGGGGTGTGGAGGGCCTCGTGCCACTGGACTCTGGATCCCATGATGCTTTAGGCTCCGAGTGTCGTGGATGAAGAGTTTCAGAGAGTGCTAAGCTGTAGTACCTGAGCACTTAGCCTTAATTTTGTCAAACGAGGATTTTTACCAATGTTCTTGCCATCGTGGCAGAAAATAACTGCGATTTCCCCATCAAGAGAATATAAAAAGTGTAAAATTAAATAAATTTATCTGCGAAAAATTAGTATATTATTTTTGTCTTATTTTTTCTGTTCATTACTTAAAATGCATTATGATGTATGGATTTCTGTGTGGGAACCACAGTCTTACATGCTTACCATAGACCTTCTTTTTGAAAGCTAGAACCTTCCTTTATCAAGTATTCCCCATGAGTGATACCAGCTTCCTTCCTTTTTTTTTTAAGATTTATTTATTTATTACTTTAAAAAATAATCTTACTTAGTTGATGAGGGTACAAGGGTTAAGGGCTACAGGAAAGTGGGTAATGCCATAGTTTCTGCACTAATATTTTTTTCCCTGTATCTGGGGTCAGGGGAGAAACGAAGGGAAAAGTCCCACCCAGCCTCCCACCCATCCCTGGTCCCCGATGTGTGGCATCCTCCAAGGGTCCTGCTAAAGCAGTTTTGATAGTTCAACAGTTCTGGATTGCTGACAATCTTGCCGTTCCAGTCACAATGAAACCTATTCAGAGTCCACTGGCTGACAGTCTCTTTATGGTTGGGGTTCTGAGATCAGCAGTTCAGTTGGAGGGATCTCCAAATAAACTTCATCTGAGATGATCCCATACCTGATTCTTGTGTGAGTTTGCCAGTACAGGATCTGGCACAGTCCGTCTCCCCAATCATCTTATACACATACTGGTTGTTGCAATTGCTGGATCAGTTCTGTTTCCAGCCCTGTCTTCCACTTGAACCGATGGGTGTTGTAGTCCAGCTCGACCCTACCCACTTCATACTCGGTTCTCACGCAAAATAACCAGTGGGAGCTGCAGCCTAGTTGGGGTGACTCCCCATAACCCCCACTAGGCCTGCTCCCTACCCTGGTTCCCATGCATGTCAGTATGTACCACAAGCTTGTTCAGTCCATCCCACACCCCATTTAGTACTTGTCAATGGGCATTGAAGCTTAGTTCAACCCAACCAACCTACTATTCAACCAGCTTCCTTTCGATTACTTCCCCACATTGAGTTAGCTGTTTCAGCTGGTTGGCTTAGGCATGTGTTTCTGTATTTTGTACCTTACTTTGATGATGATTGAGCAAGTCTAAAAACACAGGTGAGATTGGAGCTCTTCTGGATTATAATATACATCGACTGGTAAGATTTTTAAGAACACCATCTAAAAGGATGAATTCAATTTTGAAATGCAGTGTGTGACTTCCAGGTTTTGTATATTCTACACTGAATTACACTGTCAAATAGATATTGGGATTTTATCGTGGGATAGTAAGCAGTGTCTCACTGGCATGTGAGTTACCGTAATTGGATAGTAGAGAAGCCGCCTTGGGAATAGATAGGACACTGTACATTTTGATGAGATTGTCCTTATTCCCTCTTGTGGCAATACGATCTTGCTAATTTTTACTGCTGTCAAGCTCTTCTGCTTTTCTTTTCTACTTTATAGGTTAGTTTATTAATCTGTTCCTGAACTAGGAAGTGTAGCCACACAATGAACAATGAAGCTCTTACTGCAGGATTTTCATTCCTGGTATATACATTGAATTCATTCAGCAGATATTTGCTAATCGTTCTCCTGAGTGTGCGTGAGTACACAGAGGTGCATTAAGCCGTGTTTACCCTGAATGTGTAATAATGGAAGTTGGGGGCAAGTATCTGTATAAATGTGTGTGTGCCACAGTGGGGGAGGCGAGACCAAGTCCAGTGTGAGTTCGAAGGAGGAGTGGCCCTGGGATGAGCCTCTCCTGGCTTAGTGGTAAGGCAGTTATTTGACATCCACAACATAAACACACATCTGCAGTCCAAAGTGCAGTGAGAGGTGGTGGCTAAACCAGTGCTTATTCTGGGCCCAGTTGCCTTGCTGCTGCCTTATTTTGTGTCTGAGTATATAAGATCAGTGTAACAGTATGTGTTCAACATGTCTCACTGTGATGAATGAGATACTGTGAGAGGCGGACTGCTGGGCAGGTGTAGGGCTCCTAATCCCTGCACCTTCCCCTCCTCACCGCCCACCCCGTCACCCCCCAACCCGCCTTCCCCTCCTCACCGCCCACCCCCCAACCCCCCAACCCCGCCTTCCCCTCCTCACCCCCCAACCCGCCTTCCCCTCCTCACCGCCCAACCCGCCTTCCCCTCCTCACCGCCCACCCCCCAACCCCCCAACCCGCCTTCCCCTCCTCACCGCCCACCCTGTCACCCCCCTCCCTGTCTTCCCCTCCTCACCGCCCACCCCATCTCAGGACATACATTTCAATGTCAGTAGACATGGCTTTCCTTAACTAAAAGGATTAGTGTCCTTACCAGTGTGACCAAGTTATTAGTAGGCAATAGCATACTCTTTGTGGCATCTTTCCTGTTACTTGAAAAAAAAAAAAGGCCTCAATTCCTTGAGGAAACTGCTTATATGAAAATATTAATGTGATGTTGAAATATGTTAAAGAAATGAAGGCTTATTGAACTGCTTTAGGGTCTTGGCCATTTTTAAGCTCTTGTGACATTTCTATTTTTTAGTAGGAGAGATTTAGGCTTAAATAAGTTTTTAAAAGTTTCTCAGGCCATGCAGCTGTTTGGAATCCAATCTATTGATGTCTCATTTGTGTACTGTTTGTGCTGTAGTGTGCTGCCTCAGACCAGTGGGCTCACTGGCTGTGTGTAAGTGGGATCTGTTTGCTTTGGTGCCTAGGTTGCTGCTGGAGCTGCTGGAGCTGCTGTTTGACAAGTTCAGTGCTGTGGCCTCTGCGCATGCGGTGGTCCTGGGCTACCTGCAGGACGCCGTCAGGACACCAGTGGCTCAGCAGGAAGACGTGAAGCTGTATGACATGGCAGATGTGTGGGTGAAGATCCAGGATGTCTTGCAGGTAAGGGCTTTTATAAAGGCTGTGTGCACTCAGATGGCTTGCCACCTCTAATGGCACCTTGGGAAAAAAAGGATTCTGAAGAAGTGCTGCACTGTGGACAAGAAAATCCTACCTGGGTAGGAGAGCAGTGCTTGCGTGCCCGTGTCACCAGTTCTCCCACCTTCACCATGTGGGTTCCTCTTCTGCTGGGCTCTAAGCAGTCAGGGAGATGCGCTAGAATCTGCCTTTCTGTGGTGGAGATTTCTGCTGAAGCTACTCATGTGTTAACACAACAATATTCTTCACTGTTTATAGACGTCATTTAACTTGATTGTGTCTTTACAGGAATGACATATTGGATTAACTGATAGGTCCAGAGTTTATTTTGCGAGATGAGAAGGTGTATTTGAGATTGGTTGCAGCTCAGAGGCTTGGTATCACTGGTGGTGCAATGCTGCTGAGATGATGTTTAGAAGTTGGGTCACATTTTCTCCCCATGTGCTTTGGCCACATGTACATTAGAAACACGGCTAAGAGTCAGCTGAAGCAGCTTAGGCATGGCTAAATAGAAATGACTTGGTGAGATAGTACCTACTAATAGGAAAAAAACTAAGTGTTTGTGGGGAATTGAAATATATTAACTATGTAGCAATGAAAATACTTGCATGGTGATTTAATCTTTGCAGGAAAAAATAAATCATGAATGTAAATTATAGTCATGTTTGAGAATATAGGCATGCTCCTGGCACATTGAATGATTGGATTCTTGGTGACTCGTTCATTGGATGTTTTGGCACACTGTGCTTTATTGATGATGTGGTAGCAATCATGTGACATCTATTTACTGCTGTGCCAATCACTGTGCACCCGCAGTAGGTATTGGATGAATATTTGTATATTACTTTATTTAACATTCTGTGTCTTTGTTTGTTAATTTGTCATATGGAAATAATACTTTTCGATCACATATTTTTAGGATTTCAGAAATAGAATTAGAGACTTGTGGCTCTAGCCGTGATGAACCTGTGTTTTGCTGTGAGCACTTGTGTCCCTGGCTGGTCTGAGGCCGTCGGCAGGGTCCTCTGGGAGAAGACCACCCATGGGATGAGCATAGACTCCTGTGCTGCTGCTCTGGTGTCATTGGGAACTCTGACATGGGGAAAGTGTAGCCTCAACGGCCGTGGAGTCCCCAAAGAGAGAAGCAGTGTTCAGCCAAAGGAGAGTGACGCTGCTGGACTCATGGCCTGTGATGCTGTGGAGAAGGGAATTGTGTGGGGAGGGCACACTGGGCAGTTTGGGTGCCACTTAGCCCTTGTTGAGATTTGAAGCAGTTCCTGCAGAAGCTTAACAGCGAACAGCCACTGTGAGACTGGGAGCTGGACTGGAAGTTGCAAAAGGCTTCCGAGTGTTTGAGTTCAGACTAACTAGGAGGGGAGCATGCTAGATACGCTGTGCTTTGACTTGTGCCTGCAGGAAGTATTCCTTAGGCCTCAAGCTGAGAGTAACTGCTGCATACCACCAAATTGTGTCTAGGACAGTTTTCTTACAGAGTCTCAGTGAGAAAGCATTAGCAGTGTCTGTCATGCAGTTACTTGTGAGTTAGCAGCAGGGCATGACTCAGCTGGACAGACAATTTGATAAACATTGTCTGAAACAAAGAGCTCACCAAATGGATTTAATATCAGATTGTATTCTATGGAAAGATCACTGGACTCTCAGAATGATTTCCAAGCAAAGCATGAGGAGAAAACAACCCCAAAGAGCAAGTTTACAAATCCCTCCCCTTGTCTGGGCTGTGCATTCTAACATGTACGAAAGGAGAGGAGACGGGGACAGAGGCTAGCAGTTAGGACCAAAAATGCCTCCACATCTGATGACAAAACACAAGCCTGCAGAACCGAGGAGCTCAGTGAATTCCAGTATATGGACACATCGCTGGCGGCGTGCTGAGGACTAAGGGAACTGGTCAGAGCAGTACAGGACAGAAATTGCCCTGTGTGAACATGGTGGCAAAAATGATCGATCTGTCTTATCAGAAATGATGCAAGGCAAAAAGCACAGGTAACAGGGTGTTATCTCAAAAGTGTTGGAAAATGTAAATCTAGGCTTGTATAGTAACTGAAAACCTTTTGAAGTGAAGGTAAAATAGAAGCATTTTCAGGTAAACTAATGCAAAATCAGTTACCTCTAGACACGCCCTTTAGTAAGTGAGGTAGACAGTTTCTCAAGCTGAAGGCAGAGACCAGATGGTCACTCGGACATGCACGGGGAAGTTGTTCAGCAGGCTAGACATTTTTTACATTATATGTGGGTGCTTGAAACAATTCACAGAAAATTGAATCAAATTTTTAGTGTACTTTGGTGTGAAGACATTTTGAAATATAACACACCGCTGATCATAATGTTCAACAAACAAAGGGTAGAAAGATCACTGTTCCTCGGTATAAACAAGGGCTAAACATGCCAGATCGCAAGATGTCTATTTTAATCTTGTATGTGTTTTTGTGTTTCGTGTTAACTACCACAAGGCAGAGCAAGCGGCCACGTGGGTGTGCAGCACATGACAGGAGCTCAACATGAAGTGGCCAGCCTCAGGAGATGCTAGCTGTGGGACAGTTGATGAGAACGGCTGTGTAGCACAGAGCAACGTCTTGTCAGTATGCCGGGGATGGCCACCTCTCCCATCCTGCACTGGGGACGTGGCATCTGGCTTGCTGCCACAGGTGCACCAGAAAGACAGGCACGGGGTGGCAGTACTGAGCAGTTTCTGCGATGACTAAGGACTTGAGATGAAGTGGACCTGAGTGGTTGTTGGAAGCCATATGTTTAGGAATAATCATAGAAGAGATGTTAACCTTTCAGGGAGAGATGGCAGCGAAGAAATGAGTCGCTGAGCCGAGTTGTAGCTCCCTCACCGTTGGCGCTGCTAGAGCCCATGTCCTTTTCAGGGGTTGCTTAAGAACCTTTGTGGACAGCAGATCAGCCAGAAGGGGCTCCAGAGCAAACTTCAGCAAGTAATTGTTCTTAGGTAACTGGCAGTGTTTGCTACAACGACAAGGAAACAAAAGAAGGTTAAATTATGGAGTCGGGAGGTTTTGACTGAGAATTTAGTTGCAAACTTTTAACTTGGGAACTGTGGGGTGAGAGTTTATAGTAATGTTTAGAAGTTCAAATATGAAACAAAGGAATTATTTACTTTTCATATTATCGTAGTGTAAATAAAATTAAATGGAGCTGAGTTTCACTGGACAGTTGTCTTGCCAGAGTTAAATGTCTGTCAGTAGGAAAATAACTGAATGTTCCTCTAGGCAGTTTTCATTTTTCTGTCTTCTGACTCTGAGCCCTTGGCTGATGATCTCTTAACCTGCTGTGATCACAGAGTAGTTTATCTCATTTGAGTTCTTTTACTGATTGACACAAATAAAACTGAAGCTTCATGGCCCTGGACTTGACCTGGTGCTGTCCTTCCTGACTTGGTGGAAATGGGCCCCTATGTTTGGGGTGCAGAGTGAGCGTCCCTTCCTGAACGTTGTTAAATCTGCCATGTGTGTGATCACTGCCGCCGTCTGAGATCCCTGACCAGTGTAAGCCAGCCTCCCTCAGGTATTTTGGAAACTGAATTAATATGGAAGTGAATGAGTTTTTATTTTTTATACCTCCCTCCCCCAGATTCTCCTTCCAGGAAGAATATTTGGCAGGCTAGGGAGACACACTGTACCGTGTCCTGTAGACATGTGAAATTCTGGGCGCGGGACATCTCAGAGCTGTGCTCCTTGGGGTGTGGTGTGATGACTCACCGACCTGCAGAAGTACCTCTGTGAGCAAGGAAGTCACAGAAAGGGAATCTTGAAGTCATTACCAGTACTGTGTGTATCTTCAGTTGTCTTAGTATCTACTTTTCAAGGCTGTATGTTGCTTTTCTTTCCTACAGAAATGCTGTATCCTAATCATTTTCCTCTGTCCTCTAAATATGACTTTAGCTTCCATTTTTAAAAAAAGGGTTTTTTTTTTTTTTCAAAGATGATTTACAGAGAGGAGAAACAGAAAGAAAGATCTGCCATCCATTGATTTGCTTCCCAAATGGCCACAACAGCGAGAGCTGAGCAGATTCAAAGCCAGAAGCCAGGAGCTTCTTCTAGGGTTCTCATGTGGGTGTAGGATCCCAAGGTTCTGGGCCATCCTCTACTGCTTTCCCACGCCACAAGCAGGGAGCTGGATGGGAAGTGGAGCAGCCAGGACATGAACTGGTGTCCGTGTGGGATGTCTGCACTTGAAGGTGGAGGATTAGCCAGTTGAGCCAGTGTTCTGGTCCCAACTTTGCCTTTCCTGTATCAGTAACTTTGGTTATTGTACATTGTTCCTGCTGGCTTTGCCTTCATTTCTGTCTTGACAGTGAAGCATTCACTGATGATTTCTTTTCTAGAATTCAGTGTGCTATTTGTTTTTACGCTTGTACTATCTAACATACATAATGGTCATATTTTTCTTCCTCCAGTTGATCCATATCATTCCTTTTTAATCAGATTAAAGGTCCTCCTGAGGACCGTATTTTACACATCTTTGAATTTCTTACAGTGCTTTTATACTTTGATTTTTCAGTTCATTTTTCCACTAGCTAAGTGTACCAAGGTCTATTCACGGTGGGAGTCCCTCCCCTGGGCCTGCAGTTTGGCATTGCTTCTGTTACGAGGGCAGAGCTCTTGTAGATACACAGTACAAATCTGCTGATTTAAAGTCTGCAGCAGACTGGGTGTTTATGCCCCAGCACCCCTCCCCACACCCGAATTCATCATCTGAAATCTGACTCACAGTGTTATGGTATTTGGATGTGAGGCCTGCGGGAGGTGACTGGGTCAAGTCTCAGCACTCAGGAATGATGAGAGCGGTCCCAGAGAGCTCCCCTGTCGCTTCTGCCATGTGCTCTTTGAGTGAAAATGTGGCTGTTTGTGACCCTGGCAATGAGCCCTTTGCTGGTGCCTTGATCTTGAACTTCCCAGCCTGATAATGCAATACATTTCTCT